GTGCAGTGACTAAGCAAGCATTTCCAGATCTGATTCTAGCGGATAAAAGATTTTTCGTCAATGAACCCGTAGACCTTGTTCTGGGTGGCGACGTATATCCACAAATTATTCTGTGCGGGCTTAAGAAGAACATATTAAACACACTTCTAGCCCAAGAAACAGTATTTGGCTGGATAATAACGGGGCGAACTGATACCACGAATCCAGGAACGAATATCGTCTCATACTACAGCGAAGTTAGTCTGGACAAGCAACTGAGTGCCTTTTTGGAGCTTGAAGAGATTCCAAAGAACAAGAGCCTTGTTGAAGACGACAAGTACTGCGAGGAGCTGTATCAGAAGACAACCATACGAAATAATGAAGGAAAATACATCGTGTCACTACCATTTAGGAAAGATATTCCAGGAAATATTTCCCTAGGCCCATCCCTTAAAAGAGCATGTTCTCAATTTTACCGGAATGAGACACGGCTGGCCAAGGATCCCTACCTGCAAAAGGAATTCAATAGGGTTCTAGCGGAATATGAAACGCTTGGGCATATGTCGAAAATAACAAATCCCATACCCGCAGACTCGTCTGATAATTATTTTCTGCCGCACCACGCTGTTATAAAGGCAGAAAGTACTTCAACGAAAGTACGCGTGGTGTTCAATGCCTCAAGCCCAACGGCGAATGGCAACAGCCTAAATGACGTACTTTTCCCAGGACCAGTACTTCAGTCTGATCTTCCGATATTAATACTCCGTTGGAGACTATACAGATATCTGTTCAACAGTGACATCGAGAAGATGTATAGGCAAATTCTGGTACATAACAACCATACTAAGTATCAGAGGCTAATTTTTCGCACTAACCCGAATGACCCGATCAGTCTGTACGAATTAAAGACTGTCACGTTCGGCATCAATTGTGCTCCTTATCTGGCTATAAGGACACTTTTACAATTAGCTGACGATGTGCAAAGCTCCCATCCAATAGCATCTAACATACTGCGAAAATGCATGTATGTCGACGATGTATTATCTGGTGGACACACTATCGATTCAGCAATAATAGCCAGAGACGAGATATCGGAAGTGTTGCAATCAACCGGTTTTCCACTTCGAAAGTGGACAGCCAATAGCGAGCAAATACTTAATGGCATACCAAAAACAGATCTACTTAGTGAAGATTTTTTGGCATTTGAAGACACCAGCGCAGTCAAGGCTCTTGGAATAAGATGGAATGCCCATACGGATCTTTTCTATTTTATAGCAAGGCCATTGGAGAAAAGCGATACTGTTACGAAAAGAGCGATACTATCTGCCATTGCTAAACTCTTCGATCCGCTGGGGTGGCTTGCGCCTATCATAATCGTAGCCAAAAATCCTTATGCAAAATATTTGGCTGGAAGGCACAGATTGGGATGAGACTGTGTCTTCGACCACTCTAGACCGATGGCAGAATTTCACCCAACATTATAACGAAATTGATAATATTCGTATACCGCGATGGGTATACTTTTCTCCAACGGATGACATACAAATACACGGATTCTGTGACGCGTCGGAGAAAGCATATGCCGCCTCTGTGTATATGCGTGTCAAAAGAGATAGCAAAGTTTTTATTAACCTGCTTTTGGCAAAAACCAGAGTTGCTCTTGTTAAAACCATATCGCTACCCCGACTGGAACTTTGCGGAGCGGTACTATTGGCGGAAATAGTTGATTCGATAATCAACAATCTCAATTTAGGGCATATCAACATACATCTGTGGACCGATTCAACAATTGTTCTCGCTTGGATTCGCAAGCCTCCGTGTTCATGGTCAACTTTCGTTGCCCATAGAATCACAAAAATTGTAGAGAAAGTCGGAAACAAGAATTGGCTGCATGTGGATTCGGCATCAAATCCAGCAGACTTAGCGAGCCGAGGACTTCCAGCATATGAATTGGTCAACAATTCGTTGTGGTGGCAGGGACCTTCTTAGTTACAAGAAGATAACCCTAAATGGCCCACACAGGAAACAGACTACAGCACAGTAGTTGAGGAAAAAAGAACGCACGTTTATACAACCAAAGTAAATTATACCGATATTCTTGACCGTTTTTCAGATATTCCGAGAGCTTTGTTATGAGATTCTCTCAAAGAACGCATCGAAATACGAAAGCTTCATTTCAAGAAAAGTCACGCTTAATTTCATCCCATGAAATTAAAGCAACGACACAACGCTTGATAAAAATATATCAACAGAACTATTACAGTGAGGAATACGGGAAATTGAAAGCAGGAAACTCCATCGACTCCAAGAGTGAACTCCTACCGCTTAATCCGTTCATAGATAAAGATGGCATTATTAGGGCTGGTGGGCGTCTTGGGGCGTCTCAGACTTAGCGTATAACGAGCGGCATCCAATAATTCTTCCTTATAACTGCAAGTTTTCCCGTCTAATCGTGTCTTTCATTAACCATGTCTCTTTGCATGGGGAAAATCAACTCATGCTTCGCCTTATCCGAACTCAGTATTGGATCCCCAGAGTTAAAAATCTGATCAAATCCACAATCCATAATTGCAAAGTCTGTACGATATACAAAAAACGTACGCAAACCCAACTTATGGGAATTCTGCCTCAGGAGAGAACCACATTTTCGCGCGCGTTTACGAATAAAGGTGTAGATTTTTTCAGGACCCTTTGACGTCAAGAGTTATAGCGGCCGAGGTTGTC